GCACAGTATAATAATGCAAGGTTGGGCACTCGGGAGTGCTCAGGAATGGGGGTGCCCCCTGTCCTTCTCTGTCCGTGGCTGGGATTCTGAGTAGAAGCAGCAAGCTGGCATCATGGAGACCCAGGACACAGGCATGCGTCCCCAAGGTCTCTGATGGGAAGAGACACCCGACAAAGTAAAATAACTACTAGAGGGAAACAGAATTAAAGGCCGTGAGAAAACACAAGTAAATAGCAAGAGCAACGGATACCTGATTTTTTCTTTTTTTTTTTTTTTTGAGAGAGAGTGCACGCAAGTGAGGGGAAGGGCAGAGGGAGGAGGGAGAATTTTAAGCAGGCTCCATGCCCAACACAGAGCCTGACATGGGGCTCAGTCTCACAACCCTAAGATCATGACCTGAGCCGAAATCAAGAGACGCTTCAGCGACCGAGCCACCCAGGCACCCGTACCTGATTATTTTTCTAGGGAAGGAAAACAGTGAGTAGCTATTGTGTGAAACCCTCAGGCCCTTGCTTTCTCTGGGAGGCTGATGCGGATGGGCCTAACTGCTCTGGGCCTCGTTCCTACAGGACAGCCTCCGAGTTAATGTCTGAACTCTCCTCATCCAAGATGTTGGTACGATGTTCATTGTAGCAGGAAACTGTACCATCACGAGATCAAAACCATGACTAGGGAGAAACAAAGAGTGTGGTTTCTTTGCCAACATGAAAGGCTAGATAATTTAATTCAGTTTTTATTCATATTCTAAACTCTGATTTGAGTAATCAGGGAATAAAATACGGTCCCTTTACATTTTTCATTGTTTCACATACATGGAACCACCACAAATCACTCCTGGATCAACTGCGAACTTGGTACCTGGTAAGATAGGAAATACACGTTACCTTTCTTTGCATTTCCCATTTCTGTGATTATTGCAACCGACAGAGGAAGGATGCAACCGTATGTCCTGGGTGTCGCCGGGGGCCAGACGCTCTACCTGGCCCTGGGGGACTCGGAACGGCCAACACCTGGCCCTGAGCATGAGTAACAAACTACACCTGCTTCAGGCCCAGCACCTGCAATCCCGCACACCCGTGTGGAATTCCAGCTGTGCTGCTCTGGGCAAGTTGCTAAGCCCCTCTGAATCTTGGTTATCTCACCTTTAAAACAAGGATGATACCAACTTCATCTAGTTGTTGGGAACCACAGAAATGAATGTGCTGCCAAGCGACGAGTTTGGTGCAGGGCCCTGGTACAGTCCACTCGAACCTCAGCCTGACATCACCAGACACAGAGTTTGGTGAAGGCAGCAGACCTACAAGGGTCCATATGACACTCCAACAGGCCTTTGAGTCTAGGTTTGTGCCCAGCAAGGGCCCAGAGGAGGAAGTGACTACTTCTAACCGGGGGCCTCTTACAGAATGACCTGGAGGAGGCATTTTGGCCCGGCCTTAGAAGACAGGAGTTTGCAGGTGGAGACATAAATTGCTATCAAAATGAAAGACAGGTGTTTTTAAAGTGGTTCATTCTCATGAGTAATGCATTTCTTCTGTTTTTGAGAAATAAGGAAATGATCATTGAGGCAGCAAGGGAGTGTGAGAAAAACAAGGGAGTGTGGGAAATGATCATTGAGGCAGCAAGGGAGTGTGGGAAAAACAACGTTAGCCCCACTAATTCCCCCGTACTCCCCGCCACTGTTTCACTACAGAATGCCGTCTCCCCTGGGCCCCGCTGAGTCGGGGGCTCCCAAAACATTCCAGGGGACAGTGCAGATCCCATACTGGACCCAACCCCAGGGGAACCACAACGACACATCAGCAGTCCGGCTCGCTCTGCTGGGAGCCACACACTTCGTGCCGGGCCCCACCCGGCCCTCACAGCTCCTCAGAGAGCCCTGGGATTCTCCCACCTCCCCATAGAAACAGAGACAAGTAGCTCGCCCAAGGTCACCATGTGACAGTCCAGGTCTTTTTCACTCTGACGTCCATGCCTTTTCCTCCCATGTGACACTGACAATGTACGTGACCCTGCGTAGCCAGGGCAGAGGTTAAGAGCTGACCCCTGGCGCTAGACTAGGGTGCAAATCCCAACATAGCCACACACTCGCCCCTGACCTTGGGGAAGTGTTTTGTCTCTCTGAGTTGGTTTGTTGGTTTGTCTTTGCACTGGAATAACAGTTACTTTTTTCTTGGCAAAAAGTCAAATGGCACCTTTTTAAAAACAAAATAGAGATTCTACTTAAGGGTTTTTTTTTTTAATATTCAAGTAGATTTTAAATGATAGAAGTTCTATGAAAACTAAGAAATCTATAGCCTGGAGTTTAATAGAAAAAAAAAGTAAGACAATGAAAAGATGTATAGCATCCAGCATCTTCTCAGTTTCCCCATCTGTGAAATGGGAATAATCATATTATCAACCTCTCAGGGTTGATGTGAGGGCTGAAAGAGTAGATACAGCACACTCCCTGAAAAGTGCCTGGTGCATAGTAAACACTCAGTTTAGTGTTGGATGCTGCTGTTGATACTATTATATTAAGCGGTCACTGCACCCCTGAGGCTGTTCTAGAGAGACCAGACCCACTGCCTTGTAGGAGGCATGAGCAGGGCCCACTCCCTGACATTGCTCAGCAGTCCAGGGTCTGGCTCACCTACTTTGGCAAAATAAAAATTTGATTTGATGTGATGGACACACACACAGGTGGTTGGGTCTGTTCACGTGACCCAAATTCACAAGGGACTGAAGAAAACCAGAGTCCTTCTCTCTGAACTAAAGTGAGACTGTTCTAGAGGTTTCTTATTCCTCAGCTCCTTTCTCAAGGACCCAGGCTGACCACAGCCTCCCTTGGGTAACAATCACATTGCAAGATCCCCAAAATTGCCTCCATGTCAGGGATGGCAGCCTCCCCTCTCCTCGGCCACACAGCTGTGGGCAGCCCCTGGGGCCTCACCTCTGCAGGAAGAATCTAAACCATGACACCTGGAGTCATCTTTGTTCTATCCTCGGAGGTAGCTTTCTCAAAATTCAGCCGGTGTCTTCTGACCGCCCTCCAGTAAGTTAGCTGGGAAGCAGCTTAGTGTGGGGGTTCAGAACAGGGGCTCTGGGCCCACAACCTGACTCTACGACCTTGGTAGCTCTATAGTGTGTGCTTCAGTTTCCTCATCCGTAAGGGATATTACACCTACTGTATTAGGGTCCTCTTGCCACTGTAACAAACTGCCCTAACAGGTTACCCCAAACTGGGTGGGGCTAGAAATGTATTCTTCCGCAGTTCTGAAGGCCAAAAATCCAGAATCAGTCTCACTGGGCCAAAATCAAGGTGGGCCACACTCCCTCTGAAGACTCTAGGGGAGACTCCTTTGCAATAGTTCAGTCTCTACCTCTTGGTCGCATGGGCTTCTCCTCTCTTCCCTGTGTCTCAAATCTCTCTCTGCTTCCGTCTTATAAGGACATCCGAGGCTCCATGTGGCGCAGTAATCCAAAAGCCCCTCCCCACCTTAAGATCCTCCCCTCAGTTAGACCTGCAAAGTTTGTGCCATATAAGGTAACATTCACAGGTCCCCAGGATTAGGATGTGGACATCTTTTCCACTGTGAAGACTGGGACGGTGATTTGCCCCAAACTCGTGTTGGTTAAATCAGGTTTGAAATGTTGTTAGAACCAAAGTCGGCCAGCATATGGCAGAGATGATGGACTTCGGGCATCTTTACCTGACTGATGAGCCATCAGTTTCCATGTCCCCTCAGGGGCATATATTTCAAAGATTGGTGGGGAATGGCAGGAGAATACTGACCGGCAGCTCTCTGGCTCAAGTACAGAAGTGGTTGGAGCACCAGCCATGTGTCACTGGGACAGTCCCCCATTACCCAAGCCACTCAGAGAAATCTGGGTCACGTTCAGTTAGAGTCTCCCTGATAAATGGGATTTTCACTTCTTACCTTATGCAAATATTGTTTGAACTTCTTAGAATGAGCATGGGTTACCTTTACAACAACCTCAAAAAATAGTAACATTTTAAAATTCTTTGGTGGTTTCCCACCATCCAAAACCCAAACAGTGGCTCGGGTTCTTTATAGTCCGTCTCACTAAACTCCTATACCTTCAGTGTTCCCTAGAGAAGCTGTGTCCCAACCACAACCATCCACATTCCGGTACATAAATATTCATTCAGCAACTGTCTCTTGAGTGTTGTGTGTGTGCTAAGCAATGTTTTAGGAGCTGGGGTCATGACAGCAAACAGATATCCTTGCTTTTGTGGAGGTTACATTCTAGTGAATGTCTCTGGTCCATGTGTTAATTTGTATTGTTCTCTCTTCCTGACTTGTCTGTCCTCTCCTCTGACAACATCCCACCCTTTCCTCTGGTCTTGGCTCAGACCCTGCATCTTCAGTGAGGTCCCCAGGGTGACTCTCTATCAGAGGTCATGGCCGTTTCCTCCAAGCATCCATGCACCCTGCCCGTACTTTCATAGTGCTTCTCCTACAGGTCTGCACACGGGACACAGCCAGGGCATTAAAGAAATACAACTGGACTTGGACGGCTTTGAACTCTGCCTCTTTGAGAACTGGGCAGATACAATCTCTCTCCTCACAGGCTTGTCATGAGGCACAAAGGAGGCGCATGCACAAAATATTCAGCACAGAGTTGGCGGTCAGCCATCACTTTCTAAATGAACAACGGTAACTGTAATGATGTTTTGGATTTGTTTTAAGAATTATTTGGCCCCAGGGCGCCTGGGTGGCTCAGTCAGCTAAGTGTCTGCTTTCGGCTCAGGTCATGATCTGAGGGTCCTGGGATCGAGCCCTGTGTTGGGCTCCCTGCTCAGCGGGGAGTCTGCTTCTCCCACTCCTTCTGTGCTCACTCACTTTCTCATTCTCTCTCTCTCAAATAAATAAAGTCTTAATTAAAAAAAGAAAGAATTATCTGGTACCTAGCATGGGAGCTTTTGCCCACTACTCAGTGAATATTTCTTGAATCTATTCTGAGTGTAGTCTGAATGTTGTTTGGGAAATCTTTTTCAGATACTCTGTTTACAAGGACCCAGCAGGCTGGCTGAATATTAACCCCATCAATGGGACCGTTGACACCACAGCGGTGCTGGACCGCGAGTCGCCATTCGTCCACAACAGCGTGTACACTGCCCTCTTCCTAGCAATCGACAGTGGTGAGTAATTTTTAAAATGTCACCAAGTGTATACTTTTCAGTTATAAATGCATTTTTACATCTTACATTTCTTCTGGTAACACCCGGAGGTGTTCTTGGGAAGAATAAAAATGAGTGGAGGCAGGGAAGGCGAACATTTAAACATACAGTAGGTCAGTAATACCCCCAAATTCTGGAATTCTCTGGTCTTTGTCCAGTTAGAGGTCAGCGTAGTGAGCTCACTGCTTCGTCTTAGGCAGGTGCCACAGCTAGGAAGGCACATTGCTGCCGTTCATCTTGGCGTCATGCTCTCATCTGCGGGACAGTCCCTTCACTTAGGGCAAGCTGGAAGAAAGTCCCAGAGGACATCACCAAACCTGATGGCTGAATTGTCCCACAGCTTTTACCCTGTTAGCACAGACGACCATGGAAAGACATCAGGTGCACTCAGGTAGGAGCTTCATAATCACAGAACAATGGCCGTTCATTCAAAAGCTACTAATGCAACATCCACGTGCCAGAATCCGTTCTAGATGCCGGGGATACAGCAGTGAACAAACAAGAATGACTATCCTCGTGCAGCTGATCCACTCATGGAGAAAGGAAGCAAATTGAGTAAAATACATAATACGCTTTTTGGGAAACAGGGAAGCACACTATGTATGTATGAAACCAGGAAACGGAAAAAAGATGGTGGACAGCAGGGTGCTGCCGTTCTAACGAGGCAGCCCTGGGGAGCCTCGCTGTGGCAGCGACATTTGAAAAAAAACACAAAGGCAGTGGCTATGGGAGCCCTGAAGTTATCTAAGGGAAGGGCAAGGAGGCCACAAGGACTGGACCAGAGAGAGAGGGTGGGACAGAGATACAGATGGTGTGGCGTCACGTGGGCCCCACACCACCCTCCGCTTTTACTGTGGGTGAGATGGGACGCTGTGGCCGAGTGCTGATAGGGTGCAGTGTGACATGATCAATCATGCTGCCCTGTTGAGATCAGACGTGGGGGACAAGGGCCCAAGTATGGAGACCTCTTAGGAGACGGGTGACAATCTAGGCATGAGGGTGGCTTGGGCTGGTAATAGGGGAGGGGATGAGAAGAAGTCAGATTCAGACACAAAGCTAACAGGATCTGCCATTGGCTGAGATGGGGGGGTCCGAGTTGGTTTGGGGGTATGTTAAACAGAGATGTCCATTGTGTCAAGCACACACGAAATTTTGCTCTCTCTATTATTCCAAAAAGCCAGTTGTGCATGGCTGAAGATTCGGTTTTGAGTCCCATATATCAAAGTGAATATTCACAGGGCCTTTGGCACGTGCCTTCGTTATACACAATAACGGGTCAACTGAGACTCTCAGACCCCGTCTTCATATGCGGGGCACTCACATGCACACCACCTCTGAGATCATGTGTCTGAGAAGTGCACAATCAGGGTGGCATGCAGTAGGCAAAGAAGGCTTCACAATGAAGTCAACCTTTGAGTTTGGCCTCGAAGGACAGGTAGGATCTGGATAAGTGGCAGGAGAAGGGGTAGAGGTGCCTGAGAACACAGAGCAGAGGAATCAAAACTAGAAGGGAGTGTAGTGGGGGTGGTAAGAGAGGGAAAGAGAAGAGCTGTGTCCACTGTGAGTGAACAAGTGGAAGTCTATTTGGACGTACGTGGAAAAGTCGTATCTTCAAAGCATCTCAACAACTAGACAAGTCTTTTGATGGAGCCGGCAGCCAAAAGGTTGCCTAAGTTCTTGAGGAGAAAACTGCAGGATGAAGTAGCCCACAGACACTCGTCCACACACACTGTGCTTGACCCTGGAGACTCAGAGTTGAATAATGCATGGTCCTTGTGTTCCGTGCGCTAATGAGTGATTTGGGGAGTTAGGCAGGTAAGCACAAGACCCCAGTGCAATGTCATAACTCTTCTGATGGACTTAAGACCAGACGAGCCCCTTGTCCAGCCTTGGGGGTGGTCACAGGGAGCTTCTTGGTTAAGGGGATAGGCTAAGCTGAGAAAAGGTAACGCATTTTTGTAATTCCATTCCCATTTTTTAAAAATTTTAATGCCAGGATAGTTAACATACAGAATAATAGTAGTTCTATGTGTACAGTATAATGATTCAACACTTCCCTACAATCCCCGGTGCTCATCACAAGTGTGCTCCCTTCAACCCCGTCACCTATTTCACCCATCCCCCACCTCCCCTCTGGTAACCATCAGTTTGTTCTCTATACTTAAGAGTCTGTTTCTTGGTTTGTCTCTCTCTTTTTTTCCCCTTCGCTCATTGGTTTTGTTTCTTAAATTCCACATATGAGTGAGATCATATGGTATTTGTCTTTCTCTGACTGACATATTTCACTTAGCGTTATACTCTCTAGCTCCATCCATGTCATTGCAAATGGCAAGATTTCATTCTTTCTGATGGCTGAGTAGTAGTCCATTGTCTATCTATACCACATCTTCTTTACCCATTCATCAATCGATGGACACTTGGATTGCTTCCATATCTTGGCCATTGTAAATAATGCTGCCATAAACATAGGGGTGCATGTAGCCCTTTGAGTTAGTGTTTTTGTATTTTGGGGGTAGTACCCAGTAGTGCAATTACTGGATCATAGGGTAGTTCTATTTTTAAATTTTAGAGGAACCTCCATACTGTTTCCTGGAGTGGCTGCACCAGTTTGCATTCCCACCAACAGTGCATGAGGGTTCCTTTCTCTCCACATCCTCGCCAACACCTGTTGTTGCGTGTGTTTTTGATTTTAGCCATTCTGACAGGTGTGAGGTGACATTTCATTGTGATTTTGATTTGTATTTCCCTGATGTTTTGTGATGTTGAGCATCTGCTCACGTGTCTGTTGGCCATCTGTATGTCTTCTTTGGAAAAGAACGTCTGTTAATGTCTTCTACGCATTTTTAATTAGATTATTTTTTGTTTAATTAGATTACTGGTTGAGTTGTATCAGTTCTTTATATACTTTGGATACTAACCCTTTATTGGATATCTCATTTGCCAATATCTTCTCTCAGTCAGTAGGTTGCCTTTTACTTTTGTTGATTGGAAAAGGTAAAGCATTCTAATAGAAGCCTGAAAGAATATGGATATGTGGGACACTGAGAAAACTCGCATGTAGGCTCCATCTGTACGAAGCTAGGAGCAGAGAGATGGCCAAGCACCCACTGCTCCGAGGTTGATACTAGGTCTTGTGTTGAATGCCTGGCTGCTATCACAGTGCCTGATTTAGAGCACGTGCTCAACAGATCTGTGGAATAGATCCTGAACTAGATCGTGAAATGTTCCATATGCTATGCCAAGGTGTTTGATTTGACTATGTTGCTCACTTGCCTCCAAAATAACTTTTGTCCTTTAGAGAGATAACCCCCAAGGCAGTATAGAAAATGCACAATGATGATGTGGGAGGCAGGGAGGCATTCTAAAGCTGTGGCAGAAATCAGGATAAGAGAAGCATGAAGCAGTGAAGTGAGTTTAGCTGAAGTGAGTCTAGAATCAGGAAATACGTTGAAAGCCATGGCCGGTATCTTAGTTGCAGGGGCTAGGGTGTGCCAGGTGACAATAGAAATGGACCAGAAATGATGAGTCTAGAAAACATCTGGAAGGAAGAAACAAGACTTTGAAAAAAATAAGTGCTCAACATAAAGTAGAGAAAGGTGATATTCAGATTTCTAGGCCAGAAATCAGGAATGATTATTCCATTGACAGAAGTGGAATGGGTTTCAAAGGATTGTTCCCATGTTGTCTTTATGGGGTGGATCTTGAGATGATGTCCCATGGGGCTGGAATAGAGGTAAGGAGGTTTTTCTTAGAGAGTCACCTACGCAAAAGAGATTGGAGCCATCAGAACAGGTAAGTTTTGTAGAAGGAACGGGCCTAGACGGAAGTGCTAAGGGCATAAACAGTGGGTGACAACAAGCCAAGAATGTTTAAGTGCTGTTTGAATTAAAAAGTGTCAATTATAGATCTGCTAAAGGAATGATTTCAGAGTTCTGTGCTACCTAAAAGTCTCTGTACTTGTAGAGAAAATTCTCAGCTAAGAACAGCATGAAGAAAGGTGGAAATACAGCAAATAGAGTTGTCATGCCCTTATGAAATATTTTGTGCAATTATTCATTAAAAAAAAAAAAACTAGAAATGAAGTACACTTTAATTTTTGCCAGAAACAAGAGCCTTCTCTCCAGGTATGACTAGGCAAGCTGCTTATAGACTCTGAGGCTCAGTTTCCACTTCCCTAAGATGAGGAAGATAATTCCTACTTAGAACATTGTTGTGAGAAATGAGAAATAGAAGTGCTGTGCCCTCTACACTCACCATCAAAAGTCATATTAAATGTTCAATAAATGTTAATCTCACCCCAGTGGGGGTTATAGAAAGGAAAGAATGGAGTCACGAATGGTCCTAAGAAAAATACAGTGTGAAATCTACTTCTTGTCCAACTCTTTTAATACTAATATCAAACAAGTAAATTCAAAATCTGGTGTCACAGATGTTTCCAAAAGGACGAAATGTCCCTGAAGATGTAATGATAAATAGAAAACAGGTTGGCATTAATATACACAACCATCATTAGAGATGATAATCTTGAACAAGGCCCAAAAGACTTAAGAGTAAAAAGAGCATAAATTAAAAAAAACCTCATAAATCAAAGGAAGTTTTTGTTTAAAGACTCCTTTTTGTCTCGCTGAAAACTTATCTCTAGGTATTATGTTGAACCAGGAAAAACCAACACTTCCGTATTAGACCAAAGTTAATAGTATAACTGATGTCTCAATTTGAGTCAAAGGAAGCATTTGATTTTATTTAATTTATAGAAATTCAATGTATTTGATGGAATGAAAGAATAAGAATTTTTTTTTTTTTTGGGTCATGTAACACTAGGAAAGCTAAAGCAAAATAAAATGATTTTCTCCAAACAAGGAGTCACTTAGGAATTTATATCAAAACATGTTGGTAAAGATATGTCTGTAGGATCTTCCAGGCAGGATGTAGTAGATTACTGTCCCCACTGCAAAAACTAG